TCGATTTCGCGGTCCCTGTGTACGTTTTCTGGGACACGTAGTGTTGAGAGCACCTTGGAGAGCATCTACCAGGAAAGAAGTTTCTCTCTCTGGGTCTGAAGAGGGTGTGGCCACTAGTCTGTCGGAGATAATTTTACGGAAGGTGACCCAGTTGCAAGCAGTGTATCTGAGTTTTTCAGAGGTATCTCTTTCAGGTCCTGTGTCTGAAAGTTGAGTTAGTAGAGTTCTGTGGTCTGACCCGACTTCCAAGTCGTTTCGGATAGCACAAGATGCGTTGAGACTATGTCGTGTGAAGCAAAGATCAATAGTAGCGCCGGCATCATGAGTGGGGGCATAGTATACATTCAACAACGTTATTCCCCTTGCAGTTGTCCATTCGAGTAATGAGTCGCCTTCCGAATTTTCGTTATATGCTGCTGGGTCCCAGGCCGAGTGGTGGATATTGAAGTCACCAGCTAAAACGTCTGGGATATCAGAAAGGTTAAGAAGAAGCTGAAGGCCATCCCCAGCGCCAACCGCGCCTACTGGAGCATTGTATATATTCCAGCAGTCAATGGTACGGTTTCCGCGTCGAGAGACGCAAATCCGGAGAAGGTCGCGTGAGTGAATACTGGGTTGGAAAGGTGAAAGGCCGCACCCCTTGCGAGTGTAGGTCATTACGCGAGGCCGGCTGGTCCAGATTGGAAGGGGAGAGAAAGAAATGTATTCTGGGTGATTTTTAGTTAATTTGCGCGAGAGATCAGTACTTATCCAGGGTTCTTGAATTAGTACTAGATCTACTCCGCTTTTAGAGGCAAGTTCGAGGGCGGAGTCGTGTGCCGGGCTCCGCTTACCCACATTTACCTGGAATATGCACAAACTGTTGATTGATTGGGATTTGTGCGTCCGGCCCCGAGTCATCATAATGATTCCTCTATGGTCATCAGGGCGGAGTATCGGGACTCCTGTCCAATTTGTAGAGGAGAGGGGGAGGCGATTCTTGTGGGTTGGGTAGGAACCTGATTGTTCCCGGAGCTCGCAGCGGCCTGGGGAGAGATTGGAGGGTGTAGTGCGGTCCAGGCCTTTAGGCCCTCGCTTCGGATAGCTCGGAGTCTAGTTTTATCAGGGCGGGCGAAGCTTCCGTTGGCGCGGATGGGTCGCGCGGGGCAGCCTAAAGAAAATGATGGATGAGGTCCGTCACAGTTAAGGCATTTTTCTGGTCTGGTGCAGGGCCCGACGTGGAAATCCACGGCGCATGTCCCACACCGAGGGCGGCGAGTTCATCTATTGACATTGTGGAACGCGTGGCAACGAGAACACACCTGGAGTGGGGGCTGGTGGTCTACTTGTCGGAGCTTCATCGCTCGAGCAAATAGTCGCAGGTTTGTTGGGTACTTTTTAGCGGACTCGGAAGCTATCACTAGGCGTATAGTCCCTTCGTGGTCCGGAGAGAGTTCAGAGCGGCGAGTTCACGACATGGAGAAGATTGCTTCGGGGTCAATCTTCGTAGTGGCTAGTTCCTGCCGAATTTCAGACATGGTGAGGGCTTCACGTTCCCCCAAATGGTTGTAGCCAAACTTAGGGACTGGTCCTAAGATGAATGTATTGCGATTTTCCTGGCGCTCTATTGGAGCGTCTCCCGTAATCGTCTGAAATGCCGAGGCTACTTGAAGTAGTTCGGGGGCTTGGGCGGCGGTGGGCGCTACTATGGCGATTCCAGAGGGAACTATGCGCACATCTTTGATGAGCTCTGGCCGGTCAGTTAGTCTCCGGAGTCTTGTGCGGATGAGAAATGTATCTTGTCCTCGGAGCGGGTGATCGGCCGGTAGGCGTACGATAACTCTTGAGTCGACCTTAGGAGCTTTGGGGAGAGACTTGGCCTGCTTCGGTGGTGGTGCAGTAACAGTCTTCTTTGTTAGGGTAGTCTGAGCCGCTAGAATGGGGTTTCGGGAAGCTGCCGTCGCGTACGTCTGCTTCTGAGAGGTATCGGGACGGTTCTGATGAGTTGCCGGCCCGGCGCTTCGATTGGTTGTTTGAGGGTTTTTACCTGTAGTTGTCTGATCGAATACAGATAGGCCAGCGATGACCCTAGCAGCACTACGAGTGACGATTGCCTTGAGATCTGCCGCTATTGCAGGTGGGAGGGAGCGGAGATGGATAGCCCCGGCATTTTGCCAGGCTAGAAGGGTAGTGGCTAGTTCGTTAGTGGTGGCCGATGATGGGTTGGCCACAGAGCGTTGTACAGCCGCGGCTGGGGCAGGCGCTTGCCTTGTGTTTCTGGTAGCTTGGCCGCTCGAAGGGGGGTGGGTTGCTACCGCAAAAATGGATGAAGCAAGGCCTTGATCCTGAGTTGACAAGATCTTCGGAACTTTGGGCGTAGTCCGCTGTAAAGGGACGGACGGAATATGGCTGTTTGACGGCGGCTGAGACAAAATCTGCAGCGCGTCATCTTCTGCCTCGAGGTCCATGTATTCATCCTCAGAATCTATGTGCATGTCTAGAGGGGCGGGGGGAACTTGATTTAGTTCAACAGGCATCCGAGGTTCCGCGATGACTGTTGGGGATGATTGTTTATTACGCTTTGTAATGCGCGTGGATGAGGCAGCCCCTACTGGGCTGGGGTTGAGCTTTTTCCTCCGCCTTAAAGCAGGCATTGTCGCCGACTTGACTGTCAGTTTCCAGTTGTGTATCTATCGTAAATGGTATGGGTTCGTCGGTAGCGTTCGGATTCGAATGGGCATGGCTGCTTAGTTGGTTGCACACTTTGGTGAGCTGCATACTGGTAACGTGATCGGTCTACAAGCGAACAAGCTAGGGGATAAGAGACGGTTTCTTCCAATCTGGAACATAATAATTATAAAATTTACTTCACTTCTGCACATTAATGAAAACATCTCTCCACACACTATCTTAGCTGTTCTAGCGCAAGTGTACATTCCCAAATCATATACCAATCATAATAACCTCGCAGACAAAAAAGGTTAGAACTGCATGAGCTCATCTTACTGATATCTATGAGGTTCCTGATGGATTAGTATGTGTGAAAAGTGAGATAAGCTTAGCTTTAAGATGGCGTAGGTTACGGGTGTCTCGTGGCTCTAATCTACCAATATGTATTGTAGAGCTTAAGACTAGATGTAACTTCGTTTTCTATTAATACAGGGTATCGTCTATATAAGTACAGTATTCCTAATCTTGCGCCCGGACTCAAACATGAACAACATTACATAAGCATTACAATTTATTAGAGCCTCGTACTAATCTAGAGGTCTGTCAATCTTGGATCCTCATCTAGCTCGTTTTTTGGTACATGAATTCATAGCGCTGTATGTTGTTTGTTGTTTGCGGTGTGTAAGCCACGACCCAAATATCCCAGCTACCCTAATCATGCCGCTTTCAGAAGATCACAGAAATAAGCCAAATTTTTCCGGTCCATGGATATTTTTAATCCGAAAGATTTCAAGTCTTTTAATTTTACTGAACTCTAACATCGATGCGGAGGAAGTCATGTAATGTAGTTCACTCGTATCATAGTACAGTCCCTTTTGACATATCCGACGCAAAAAAGGACTAGGCCTGAACACCATTCCGTGTTGGGAGACTATTCTCAGCACCTGTCAGTGGTGTCCGCTACGAACCTCCAGCTCTCACTGAAGTCTGCAGAGCCGAGATTGAGTAACAAAGTCCTCACTTCGACGAGGATTCCCAATCGCTTTCGCAGTTTGTATCGTTTTCATCTCTCAACACATTCCCCTATCACCACTATCATGAAGCTAACACGATTAGATCAGATGTTAGGGTCGGGGCCCTACTCATCACCAACCCTTGATCATGGAGGGGAAGCCATCCGATAAGTTTCCGGAGCGTACCCAGCACCCGATACGGCGATGGTGGATTGGATTAACTCGGCCTCGACTGTTACAAAGAAGGGAGATATAGATGAATTTGCGCGCCTCATGTGGTCCCGGTGTCTAGACCTCGCTTGGTTGGGGCTGCAGGTTTTAAGAGACTTTTTCCCGCGCACGCAGTTTCCATGGCCACCATTGACCCTCATAGTCCATGAGAACATATTTAAAAATGGTGAAATTGAAAAGGAAAAAATGTAGCTAGTATCTTATGTATATATTCTAGGAGTCCTCTATAATCATTGACTCATTTAGGACCATAATATAAATCAAAAAAAAATCTATTGCTACCATTTCCATTTTCATATTTTTACTGGGTAGAAGGTTCCGTGGAAAAGGTGGCAGGATTCCACGGATAAACACTGAGCTGAATGTTTATTCATCACGGGCAATGTATCAATGATCTTTCAAGTGACAAAAGAGGATAGGAGCAATGGACAAGCTGTGGCTTGGGCCAGAGAGGGGCTGAATATGCTAGATGATACATGTCTCAGGTAGTACAATAAACATAAAGCTCTCTTTCTCTCTTTCTCACCGCATAAAGCTAGCCTGAGTGGTAACTGTGGGTCCTCCGGGAACACGCGCCCGTGTCAAGCCTCCTGGGCGAAAAGCTCTGGCCTGATACGATGGTTAATTCAATACCGTTGGATGGAAGAATAGGACCGGGCATGTAAGTGATTCGAGACTCGTGTGCACATTGAGACTTAATTTAGGTATCTACGTAAACGTAAACGATAAAGATACAACCACGCCCTTATCTCGAGCCGCGATATCATAGGGCTTGACCCTCACTTTCCATGAGAAAATAGTTAAAAATTGTAAAATTGGAAAGGAAATAATGTAGCTGGTATCTTATATATAGATCCTAGGAGTCCTCTATAGTCATTGACTCAGTTAGGACTATAATATAAATCTGATCTAATCTTGAGCCGCGATATTACGGCTACTTCGGGGATCGGACGTGGCGGTGACTTTTTCCAATCTAGATCTCGTCAATATTTTGGTGCCTGCGCCGTGTATCATTCAAGCGCCTATTCTTTCAGCAACCTAGACTGCATATTATCGAGTCTACTTCCTCCATTGCTCTGATTATTCCGAAAAAACCACCTGCGCATCATGCCCGCCAACCACGCATCCATTCCTCCCAGTGAGGGACCGACAGGCACAACCCAACTTCCTTGTACAAGCCCTCGCCCCTATCATGACCTTGCCGTAGTAACCAAGAATACGTGGCAGTTTCTCGCGTCAAAAGGATAATTGCAGCAGATTCGGAAATCCAGATCATGTCAAATGTTGGTGCATTTGTTATTACCTTAGCAACGGTACTCATCTGCCCATCCATCCTACTCATGCTGCTATTGGATCACTAAAGACTCTATACAGGAAATGTTCATTCAACACCTTGCTGAGCAAGCTCACCTTGTCGTTAAGTCAGAGCGTAAACCGCGTCGGACTATCCAATATAAAGATCTCGGTCTAGGTCCCCATGCCGCAGTCAACGCATCACTCTAACTTCCGCCCAGCCACCGCTGTTTCGAATCACGATAACCTGGAATTCCTGGTTGATATCGTGCCTAAGACTGTTCCATACAAGCAAATCAAAGCAAAGAAAGCTACTGCCACTACTTCTAGCTCATCAAAGGCACAAGACCACACTAAACAAGAAGTTGATCAGCCTTCCAAGAGCATAGCTAGTTCTATGAGATCCGACTCTAATAAAAATGATAAAAATATGGATTCGGAAAGTCGGGAAATGAAAGATACAAATAACCAGACGTGTAGTAGGTCAAATCAGCTAAACGAAGAGTCGAGTGCGGACCTTGTGTGAGAAGGTTTGATGTCAAAGATTTCGATACGCTAGTAACCTATATAAGGTGAAAGTAGATGTGAGGCTATCATTTCAATTGATCAAGCCAAGCGTAATTGATATTGCACAGTTTTCTCTTGAGCGTTTGAATCATGAGTTTGAACACGCTTTAGTCCCCAAACCACAAAGAGTTCCAGATACCTTAGCTTCGAATAACGATTAATATGCGATGACCCAACTAGTCCTTAGCTAAGAAACTTGACCCTATCTTTAACGCCTTACTTTTGCTAATAAGAGTCATTTCACGAACGCCCCAGGTATTCTTTGGAGTCTTGTTACAAACGCCCCAAACGTTCCAAAATTTACACTGCTAATACTACTCTGTCGATGACCTCATTCTTCCATGTGATCGTCTATTGTAAGAGCGGCGGCTGGAATCCGTCCTTCATTTAGCTCTTTTTCTAGTCGGATAATATCTTGGAGACTTTTAGCGTTTCTAATTAACTCTTCGACCTTCTTGCGTTCCTTGTCAGTGAGCTTAACTCGATAGTTATTGGATTTGGCAGAGTCATTAATTGCCGTTGTAGAAATATCAAATGTCTTCGATTTAGCTCCAGAGATCTGACATTCATATTTAGCTATGAGTGAAACAAGTCGCAAGCAGGATGCCAACGTACCTCTAACGCCAGGGGTGTGGGATTCTTAGCTGTGCCAAATATCTCGCCAGCTTTTTTCCGTTCCTTATCCTTAACTTTTTGATAATCGAAAAAGCGGACAGTTGGACACTTCCATATGATCCAGAGACGATAATTCTATTCAGATGATATTAGTAGATTCTCAGTCTTCATCAACAGCAGTAGAAGTCGACAAACAAACCTCTTTACGCGTGACAGGATTATCCATTATTACTAGATGAGTTAAGCACCGAAAATTTCCCAGCGCATCCAGGTCAGCCAGCTCAGAAAAATTGTTACTTGTCAATACAAGCGTTGTGAGATTTGGTATTGAATTTGCGAGACTTGGTTGAATACTTGAAAGACGATTCCGTGCTAAGAGAATTGTTCGTAATCGAGGAGAAAGAGGGAAATTTCCTAGCATTTGGATATCATTGTCGGTAAAGTCAATACAATCATGTGGCTAGGGCATTTCCGTTAATAAAAATCTTATTGGTGAAGATCTGGATAGGGATAGTTGCCTAAGTAACTTACACCAGCTACACCAAGGTTTTCTATGGCTGGGATTTTGTGTCCTGCAGTTTTGAAGGGTTCGTATATCAACGTAGTTCGAAGAAGGTGCAGTATCCATTTTCCAGGTACGCACCTCGTAAGTCAAGCTCACGCTCTTTGAGCGGATTGAGGTAGGAAAGAGAGGATTGAATGAGTTCTGATGTTAATCTCATGCTTGCTTCCTATACATTGAGGTATCGGTAAGTGCTAAAAATGAGAAGGTTGTGAAAGAATAGAGTAGTAGCCCACGGGAAAGTGTTTGCGATAGATTGGTATAGCACTGGTAAAGTATATCACTATTAATCCCAGGTAGCCTTGATGAAGTTTTAGTAAAAGGACGTAAATCAGCGATGTTTAAGCGTGATAATTAAGTGTGACTTGAGAAAATAGTGTGGAGAAACTGCATGCTTAACTTATTTTCCGCCCTAACTCACATCAATAGCAGGCTAATACCCGAGCGACACCATCTCCCTTTTGTTAAAATACCCAATCTATTGACAAACTTAACGCAACATTCATCGCTGCCCAATGATTTGTACTCAAAGTGTGTTCAACAATGAAGATTATACGGATCTGATGCTGCTACTAGTAGTTGGCATCTAGCTTCTCATGTATCTGATATCCGGTATCTGCTCACTAGCCAAGTAAGCCGCTCACTGGGAAGACGAAGGCCGTACAGCTGTTCGCGCTGTCCCCCACAAACCTTGGAGTTAAATGATCTCTCAAATCTAAGTTCAGCAAAAATTCGCAATACGGAAAAAGTTGGTTCTGTAGTCAATCCTTAAATACTGCATATAAAATCAAAATCAAACTCCCAGAAGATTTGTTTCCAACCAATGTCTCATCAAGTCTTCATGTATAACTTAGTACATCATCGTTTCTTCGACCATATTTCTCACTTAATCATTCTTTGGTCTCGGCTAGCCACTAAATAAACGCCCACGCCGATTTTTGTATCTTAAAGAGGAAATAAATCGTGGTGCGCAAATTCAGAGGGTAGATTTGCATGAGTTAGACCTGGGCAAGTGATCAAGATGATTCGGTGTCGGATATGATCTCCGGAGACAATTGATTGTGAGATTTAGCCAGGAGTTATACAAATTGAAAAACTTTGTGCGCGCCAAGATTTTTCTCTGATATTGTGTCATTGTTAGCTGGTTGTAGATGGAATTAAGACCTGATACAAAAAAATAAAATAAAAAATTTCTAATTGTCGATTAAAACTTTCGCTGCCTTAAAGGGGGCTGAAAGAATCACTATCTGAGTCTTCAATCAAAAATTTATCTTGTCAAACCAGTCGATGAAGAGTTGGTGCGTGAAAAAGATTGAGCCCGACAGATAGGACCTAGTATCAACGATTCTAAATATAGTGAATCACAGACCTTGGTCTAGCTACAGGACATTAACTTGATTTCTTCAATCCCTGCTGAGTTGAAAAAATACCAACCGCAGAAATTGCTTTAATTTTACTTGGTTAGCAATGCTCATAAAGAAGGATAAGATCGCTGAGATTTAATCTGATCCAGAAGCAAAGATATAATATTCACAAGAGAAAGCCAAGTTTTATTCTCTAAAAAGCACATCACCTTACTCAATCATTAAGTTCCAATAGAATGGAAGGAATAAATTGAAATACCATTCTATTACAGAAACATTATGAAGGAGCGCACGGTTTGGTACTATAGGAATCATGGGCAACGAAGAAACAAGGAAAGAAGGAAGGAAGACAAAATCACTACTAACATAAGCTTCGACGACTGCTGATGAAATGGGCGAAACCTTGAACGCTGTCAGTTAATTTCTTAAGGCAAAGTATAATTGTCTCAAAGATACATCTTAAGTTCTCGGAGCAAAATCCATAGAGTCATCTAGCGCGGTCATTAATTCATCATTTGCGAATGTCTTCTAGGTTTAAGTTAAAAAAGAAAAATTGGAACTCTAACTTCCATGAAAGCTTGGTTTGCTGTATTCCTTGAAAAAGACTTTACTTTGGCATCAGAATGTGGAAAATCAGATGTAAAGAAAATATGGCAATAGTTTTCAGATCACCGGGTACGCTACTACTTATATCTTCTACCTCGAGATCTAGGCTACCAATAAACCGGAATGGGACCCCTCTTAACTCAATTTAGAGCAACGTATCTCTAGTTGTGGAGGTGTCGGTATCAACCCAGACTAATAGCAATACCAATAATTTTATCATAATAGGATCTTTCCAGGCGTCAAGAAGGCCGCTATTACAGTACTACACCGAATTTATTTATAGGTGTAGCAGCTAGTAAGCCGATCAATTTCTCATTTTAATGTTGCCGAGCACCTACATCACTCTATGTTATTGTACGTTTGATGGAGATGTCGGGATTAGTAACTATGTTGCGCGATGAGAAGATAAAATCTACCTATGTACGTGAAAACCTAATCCCCAAGCTCGCTAAGTTATTCTTGGGACTTGGTCCTTTGATACTTTACGTTAGATTTGAACGTTATGCCGCCGCAAAATATAAGATTGGAGGCCACATACCAATTTGATTCGAGATACAGTTATGGGTTAGTCTGTATCACCATAATGCTACCCTTTGACTGTGGCGATATCTTTATTGAGAGTAAAGTGTAGAAAGATAATGATTAATCTATTTCAGATTGGGGAAAGCTCGTCTCTGACCCCCTAGCTTGTTCGCTTGTAGAATGATCACGTAAACAGTATGCAGCGCACCAAGGTGTGCTCACAACTGAGCAACTATGCCATTTGTCCCGTAACAACAACCCATCTCTCATACCGCACACAGTACTACTTGTAGTGCCGTTATGTAGAGACTGGATCTCCTTAATGTGCCATAATGCCATAATGCCATACTGCCATACTGCCATACTGCCATAATATCTACCTATGTACCAGCTACTATATCTACCATACTACATAGCTGAGCATAATACACCCTCTATCGATAGCGACCCTTTCTTGGCTTATGTATGCCGATACTAGGATTTTAAGAATTCCAGAAGTCCAAAGACTGCTGGTTAGACGGTTAGCTTAGTCTACGGCTGGTTTTGTTACTAGAATGGCATGGTGTTCACTCTTGGTGAATAAAACATCTTAGTTGAGCTTCATATCAATCAATTGGATTATGTGGCGTGCAGGTTGAATGTGTTCTCTTGGTATGTTGATAAGGAGTTTTAAATGTTGGTTTACTGCATATGTGGTGCCTGGTACAGTGTTCCTTGGGAGATGTTGTAGTCATTAGATTGAGTGCTTATACACTGCCTTTTCGTACGATAGGCATAGATTATAATTTTGGCTAAGTATTTCACTACAATTTCATAATGTCTTCTTTGCTGACTGAAAATTTACGTCGGATGTTTGCGCGAGGACAGGCATTATACGCCATTTCCTGCTTGTACTGTCGATACGAGTCTCGTTGCGGTCAATGCTATAGTGATGGGTGAGGCCTTCGACGTTGTAGCTGCTTCTATACCTGTCTAATGACCCGTCTGTGTAACACTTCTTTATGGATACCAATTTGTTCCTCATAAGGTTGCGACCTTTTGGTACACTCTCATCCTACATGATTTGCTTAATTGGCCCGCCCAACTCACTGCATCTGGCCTGGGTTTGTGCGATAATGTATCCCAATGAGTGCTGGTGTTCTTGACTAATTTCTAGTGGGAAACTACCCTATCCAGTCATCATGCAATTGTCACAGTAGGGAGTGAGGTGGATGGTGACCGACGATGTCTGATCTGGTGAATTAGATTGACTACAGAGAGGAAAGAATAGAATAGAATAGAATTCAATTTAAGTCCCTACTGAGTCTATGACTATGAAGGACTGCTAAAGAAAACAAAATAACTTTAAAATCTAATAGTCTTTTTGACGTTGCACTTCACACGTGCAAGGAAGCGACACAACCTTGAAGCAACTGTCAGCATACGAGGACACCTGACGTCACCTCAGTCTTCCCTTCGAGTCCTTGGTATATACTTCGACCCTAAGCTCCAATGGGGCTCCCATATAAAGCATATCCAACAAAAGTCACATACCCAAGTACAGTCGATAAGTAGATTGACGCAGTCAACTTGGGGTGCAACATTCAAGAAGTCAAAGCTATTGTACAGCACAATAGTGAGACCAGCCCTGACTTATGGGTGTTCTATATGGGCTACAGCTGGGCCAACGGGTAGGATACTAGAAAGGATAGTCAAACCACTACGAAGTATCCAACGAAAATGCTTGAAGCTTATTACAGGGTCATACAACTCTACCAGCAGTAGGGTCCTGGAACACGAGTCTTCGGTTCTCCCGATAGATATCTACCTGAAACAAAGGAGGGTCCAACACGTCGGACTATCTGAAGGACTACCTGTCAGGAGATTGATAGTATCTGCGTGCAGCAAATTCAAGCAGACTACAAGGGGAACAGAGAACAGGCACGCCAAGAATCGAAAGCAAGACATTGAAGAATGGACCAGAATTTGTGGCCTGGATAATGAGAAAGGGAGACAAAAAGAAGCCGGTAAGGTGGCCGCGTTCCAGGAGTGGAAAAACTCATGGACACGTCCAGCAAACGAGATACCATCTGGTCATCGAGCTTCGGCAGACCCCGAACATTGGAAAGCCGCAAATATTATTACAAATGAGACAACAGGCAGACAAAGGATTACATATAGAAACACACCCTCAAACATCCACCGAAACCTAAGTAGGGCCCAAAGCAGTATTGCAGTTAAGATAAGAAGTGAGCACATTGGTCTTAACTCTTATCTGTATCGAAGGAAAGTTCCTGGAGTGATTGATCCAAAATGTCAGTGTGGATATCCGTCTCAAAATGTCAAACATATGGTCTTGGCGTGTCCTCAGTGGGCAATGGGAAGAGGAGAGGTGCTTCGAAAAGCAAAAAACAGGTCATTTGCGGCAATGATGAACAGCCCAGATGACATAGAGAGAATAACTAAATGGATCCTGGCAAAAGGCTGGTTTGAACAATTCCGGCTTGCAGGAGAAGTAGAAATAGCATTGGACGAAAGGATGAGACGATGTGGACAAGGATAAGACGGATTTCACACTATATAAACAGTGTAATCGCACTTCCTGTAGGAAACCTCAGAAACAAAATAGACACGAGACAGACAGTTGTAGGGGGTTTTTACCGAATATGGTTTCCTCCTGTGTAAATAT